GTTTTACCAAGTGAAACGTATGTATGAATAGCCAACACATTTGAAAAGCTAAAGCATATCAAAAAATCAGAATACAATAAATATTCATTTAATTATTGCATGTTCCGTTATTACATAAGATTTTTACGCTGTAGCCCTATAGTTGGACAACATCCGAATTTTGTCCCAGCTTTACCGACACCTTAGTCTAGTCAGACCAGTAGTGGGACGTATTGTGTTATTTTATTATTTATTGTACCTTTTCTGTACAAGTAAGTACAATTATTATCTAAATTTCATTTTTATAAGTATTATTCATACAAGCAAACTTTTTAAATGTTTATAAACGTAAATGAGTTGTTGATAAAATATACAACGGATGTTTACATAAACTTAACCTCATTTATAGGATTATCTACTTACATTTCAAAAGAAAATGGCAAAATTAAAAAAACAAGTTGAAGTAACTGTTAAAAAGAGGAAAACTTGGAAAACAAAGAATAAGAATAGTACAAATAAAAAATACACTACCAATTCACGGTAGAATTTTTTTTCCTTTGGTTTTACAGTTGTTCAATAAATTAAATCTTACACGTTTTTTTAGATGACAGCGCAAACACATTTCCTGTAGATTTACAAGAAAATAATGACAATACTACAAGTACTTCTACGAATGACGGTAAATCCCGTTAAACATTTAAAATTAAACTATTATTAATAAAAATAAATATTTTAATTTTTTGTCATTGTAGATACTCTAACTTTGGATAAAATCTCTTCATTTGACAAAGTTTTTTCTTATCCAACTGTTAATGTAAAAAACAAAAAAAAGAGGAAAATACCATCAGGGGCATGTGTCGAAGATATGCTTGATTATTTAGAAAGTAAAGAGCAAATGAAGCGAACCCAAGAAAATGAAATCAAACTTAAAAAAGAGGAGAGAGAAAGGAAAAAAGGATTAAAGATGCGGAAGCTGAGAGATGCAAAAATGTCATAGAAAAAAAGAAAGCGTTGCGAGAACGTAAAAGTAGTATATTGAAGAAAATAAAGGAAGTTAATAAATCAATAAAACTGGAAACTGATACGAATTCCAAGAATTTATTGTTGAGTGAGAAAAAAGAGTTGGACAACGAAAGTTCAGAAATAAATAAAATATTGTTACTTATTGAAACAGAAGATCTCCAGGCCAAAATTAGTTTTAAAGAAAATATTGCTTAAGTATGTTCTTATATTGTGACCAAATACTTATGTAAAAATAATGCATTACAAATATTTATGTACTCTCTCACTATTATGGTTGAATATGATTATTAAAATGTACATACAAATTTAAATTTAATACAATAATTTTACCGGCTTTAATTTTAGCTATGTAAGAATGTTTAACAATAAATTGGTTAGTCTAACTAAAGTCTTTAGTTCTATTTGTACAAAAACTGAGCTTGTCCCGTTATAGGGCTATAGGTGTCCCACTACTCCGCCGTGCCACAGTCTTATTGTCCCGTTACTGCGACAAAAGTCTTTTTTATCTTTTCATCATATCATTTTTATGTTTTAACTTAGCCTCAATTTTTTAATTTTTTTACCTTCTTTAGAAAATAGCGCACTAAATAAAACCGAAATATCATGCTTTATTTCAATATTTTTGATGTTATTACAATCTTAATCTGGCCTCATTTGAGCTTTGTCCCGCTATTGGGTATTTTACCTTTTTCGTAATTTACCACCAAGTCGTAGGTTTTCGTGATTCTACTTTAATTAATAAGTTTGTTTTCAAATTTTATGAAATCAGTATAAACGGTGGTGTTCACTTTAATCGAACACACGCTCTGCAATTGGTTACGATCATCTCATTTTTCTCAATCCTTTCTACGTTAAAAACCATTGGTTGATTGATTTTTTTATCCAAGATTCCAGTATTACCTAACGTCGATAAGTGCGTTTTCTGTTCAAAATGAGTCGGTATACATCGATCGGTAATATACCATGAGGACGAAACGACTCGCAGTACAACGGCACGCTCACAGATAGCTCTTTTACGAATTGTAAGGAAAAACTTATCGATTTCAGATCTTTTCTCGCAGGTACTTATCAATTAATTTTATTATTGCAACGTAAAATCATCATCTGTCATCAATCATCTCCCGCAACTTGTCAAGCAAATCAAGAAGCGCTGGTTTCTATTCAGACGGAACCATATAAAAAAACGGCGAATGAAAATCAATTTTTCAGCACGAAACAACAATGCAGGTGGTAAATTCTTCCTCGAGCAAAATTCACAATGCCTGGTGCGTAAATTCGTTTCTCGGAACGAAGGCTTTGGCGAATTCAAGGGATCCTGGAGGTGCGAGGATTGTCAAAGAGCGAAGAGGCGGGAAAAAAAAAAAAAAAATTTAAACAGAGAGAAAAACCAGCATCGACGGTAAATCGCAGGTCGCGCGTACCAAAAGAGGTGTGCAAATTTAGCGAGGAGAATCGACGGTATATGGAGGAGAAAAAGGGGAGGCTCGAGCGAGCAATGGCTACATATATTATATGCTAGGAAACCGCGCTTCTCTCCCCTGGGACTTCCAAGAAAAATCCTCCCACGGGCCAGAGTTCACGGCCAGAGTCTCCCCCTCGGCAACTATACGCGATTCTTATCTCTCTCTCGGAGCGCTGTCTGCAGCTATGTGTATATATACACGGGGGTCCCGGGAGAGACTCCCATCCGCTCTTCGTCTCCCATGCCGATCTCACACGCGCGAGCGGTTCTCTATTCGAGCGCGATCTCGCCTTAATTAATTAATATCGCGAGAGAGGGTCTATGATAACATTCATTTTTTTTTTTTTTTTTTTTTTCATCCAGTCATCTTTACCAGCTTCGACTCCCAACGAGCAAATTATTTTTAAAACAACCATCCCACCTGTGTTTATTTGTTTTGTTTGCTTTACCCTTGCGAGAGTCTCAATGAGAAGGGGTGCCTTCAAAGGAGCATCTGACAGACCGCAATATTGATACATCCATAGTACTGGTAAATAAAGCGAATGAAGCACAGCGGAGCCCATAATATATATTATGTGCAATATGAATAGGGAAAATGATTTAATTTCATACAATTGGACGACTTCCGCGTGCACATATTGACTTTTCAATTTGAGATATAACTATTATGTCATTTGTACAGTACACCCGTTTGAGGAGCAACCCCGTCATCATCAAAACAACCACGGCAGCCACCAGCTCTCTGAATATCATGTACTTGTACAAATCCCTGCACGCCCCAGCCGCAGTGCACAATATTTAGGCACGCAAGTATTTATATACATAGGTAGGTATAGGTATAGGTATTATTATTATACTTAATCAAAGAGGGAACAAAACGACAATTTGGTTTGCGAACAACAATCCTTTTAGTCCGCGGCACATGGCGCATGTCGTATACCTGCATGTAGCCATGTATGATGTACATACGGTAGTCTCAAAGGTAACGTCTGCCATATGCCGGTACGCGTATATAAAATGAAAGCTCTTTGCGCGTTGGCTTTTGCGGCCCCTATATAGCTGTACCGTGTATAACCCCATATAATAGAGGATAAGACAGGAGGGAGGGGAACGAGAGATAAAAATACCTACGTAAATGGCCGTAAGGGAGGAGAGTAAATAGTCCCTGGTCTATGCTAGAGAGAAGGAAGGGGCTCTGTTGTTGCTGCATGTGGTGCTCTTTCTCTCTAACAAGGCGCAATTAACGAACGATTCCGCGAGAGCCAAAGCTCGACTCGGACGGGGAGCATCGCTGCTCACGAGATTACCGATTTCCCCTTTCTTCTTCTCCTTCCCGGGCGATCGGTTGTTTATACTGCGCTCGTCCATCCTAATGAGTACTAAAGAGAGAGTCGTTTACTTTAATTGATTGATATGAGCGCGTTTGTTGCACTCCGAAGACTCGAAGAGCTGATGAATTTTTTACGTCACGGCACGCGGGCACGTTGTTCCGAGAAGCGAGGACGAGACAGAAATGAAGTCTTAAATCCTTCACACGGATCGATTCGTTACGTATGTCTTGCGTGCAGGTATATAACTATTGCCAATGCAGAGGATGCGTCTCGTTATTTCACGTCAGTCGCGATTGAGACATCCCGAGTTTTGTACACCTTACGTCGAACTTGAATCACGTATCAAACTCAACTTAAAAAAATAAAAAGACAAAGTATTTTTTCATCATACCTACGTACGCGCGACGACTTGGAACGAGGCAAACTCTGGGTGATTATTCCGCGCGTGTATAAGCACCTATTTAGCGGTAATTTGCTCTTTCGTCGGATCGGCGATGATGAGAGGCGCAGTGGATGAGAGCTCGATAGGTTTCCTATAAACGATATACGTACAACAGGTAAATGCCTCCACGGTGCATTGAAATCGGCACGTATGTACCGGCTCATACATGCGGCTAGCCAACGTCGTGGTATAACCGGCAATTTAAAAGTCAAGCCGTGCGTGCGCCGCCACCACCGCGAGTCCATTCTCGCGTGAAAACTCGAGTTTCGCATGCGAACCTACGTCTTTTGCGTTTCTTTTTCTTTCGCTTCTTGCCAGTTCCAAGAACTATAATAGTTTGCATGCGCGCTTTTTCCCGTGTACTTACACCACGCCAAGGAGGCAATGTCGCGCGCAGAGCTAAGGCCATCTTTTCCGTGTTCGCTGTACAACTCTTGTCGGTGTCTCTCGTCTTTCCGATGCCGAGCTCCGGACGAATATTATAGAGTCGTATACTTGTGATCTTTCGTAGCGCATGTACGTGCGGTATTTTATTACGAGCTGTATACGGAGAACGGGAGGATCAGTGCGTGCTTTAGTTTTGCGTGACTGCATTTCATACTTACTGTTCGTACGTACGCTAGGGTAGAATATAATCAAAGCTTTGGGAAGTTGAAACAGTGACGTTCTTCCAGGAGGGTTGGTCCAATGGGTGTTGATTTATATATTGTTTTGACGAGTCATGTGAATAAGATGTAGTCTAAAAAAAACTGTAACTTTTAATTCGAAACAAAATTGCTTTGCTTTACATTGTACTTTACGGCTACATATTAGTTCTTATGTATCAACGACAAACTGAAGACCGTGTAAATTACTTAACAAGTTGAATTAATATTTGCTTGCTATTACATTAACTACTAAATTTTATCTGACCATGGTGGAGCAAAAATTCTTAAACTTGTAATTATTCAAATAAATAACGCCTACTGAATGGCATTGTTGTTAGATATTTCAAAAGTCTAAAAGGATTAAATTCCCAGGGTGAAAGAGAGGTAAAAAACGTTTACGAGGCTTACGTCACCGAAAGCGCCTATGTATCTTCCTTAGTGGGAGCCGGTGGCTGATTGTCGTTGGCATTGGTCTCCTCCTCGTCGCTCGAGGAGCTCGACGAGCTGCTGCTACTGCACGAGCACGACGATCGTGAGCAGCACGAACTCGAACTCGAACTTGAACTTGCTTTTTCTTCGTCTGCTTCGCAGACGTTTTCCACTTCGAGCTCTTCTGAAATTGTACGTGGCTCAATGGCTGGATTTTCCACCTCCAATGATTCCGAGGACCTTCTCTCAACTTTTACTATTATCATATCAGACACTGCTGTTGACTCTTTCACTTTATCTGGTACTTTACACGTTTCCTGTGTACCTTCATCTTCGTCACAGTCATCCATTTTTTCTTGCTTGATCGATCCAACAACGTTCAAAGCTTCGACTTCATTTTTCTCGTTTTCCTCTTCTTCATCCGAATTTGAAGTATCCTTATTTGAACTCGATTTATTCTTCTCTTTCTTCAATTTTACAAGGGTAACGTCGACATCGTCGATTTCAGAATACTCTGAAATATTCGATTCACACCAAGAGCTATCAGACTTTGATCGTCGTTTTCTTTTCTTTGTTTTTCGGCTTGAAGGAAACCAGTTCCTTAATTCCAAGGCTCCAGCCTCTTTAACATTAGCTGAAAAATTTTCTTCTGCCTCGGCAGTACGGAAGGGATTGAGTTTTAGGCTGTTAGGTACTTGTTTTTCGAAACCCCTAAGCTCTTCTTCGGATGATGTGTCGCTGTCACTTAACCGTGAATAGGCCTGCCATTTTGGAATTTTAACTCGAGGTAAACTGTTGTAATTAAACGTACGAGTTCCATACATGTCACAAACAACAGGCTGGTCAGGATCTAAGGCAGCATCTTTTTGTATGTGGCACTCTGGCGAAAGCTTAATTAGCAACTTTGGAACCTTCTTTTCAGCTGCTTTCTTCATCAGTTTCTTTTTTTTGTGTAAATTTAGTAAATATTCTTTTTCAAATCTTTTCATCTCTGGCACTCTGTACACAGTATTTATAGCTGACATAGTCAGTGAAGAATTATTTATACTTTCACTGGATTTTTCAAACGTCCAGTTAACTTGATCTTCAGCCAAGTTATCATTTGCCATTGAATTATCTGGTGTATAAAAATTATCATTTTTTTCTTCGTCTTCTTCATGAATTACTACTTCGAGAAAATCTGTTGGGAAAAATGGTGTTTCAGAGTCAGATTCAAAGTTATACATGTCATTACTGCTAAAGTAATCGTGGGTCAAATTAAAATTTGTTCCATTCAAGTAATTTTTTTGATTATTTAATTCTGTATCCTCATCTTCATCTTCTGATTCATCTTCACTTATAATATTATCATCTGAACCTTCAGCAAGAATTTCTTTTCCTGCAAAACTCTGCTGATCCTCTGTGTCATCTTCGTCATCTTCATTGTCTTCATCAATATCATCTTTGCTCTCATCGTCGGTACTTCCATAAGTATTTAAATATTCTTCTTTGATGAGACGACTGACATTTTCTGTATCAGAATCGGAATCTTCATTTGTTGCAGGCTCATCAACTTGTGCAATTACCTCACACACATCAGGCTGGTTGGATTCGTCCGGTACGTTTAGTTCAACTGTAGCACAAGTATCATTGTTCTCTTCAAAGTTTGGCTCTTTTTTGATGGACACATTAAAAGAATTCTGTGTGTCATATCCATCATCTGCTACTTCTTTTTTTATTGGCACTGCAGTTTCTGAAGTTTCAAGTAATCTTTTTTTTACATCCTTCAAGGTTTCGCCTGGAAACCTGTGCAACTTCCAAAAAGTTTCCAACATTCTTCTACTTTTTATTGCTTTTTTCACAGTAAGCACTTCTATGTCATCTTCAAGATCCTCAGCCACCAATCTTTTGTTACGTCTTTTTATAGCCAAGCGCTTCTTTGTTTGGATCTCATCTTCAAAATCTGATACAGGAGCATCCTCATCCTCCGACACTTCTTTTCTTGTTGGTACCTATGCATTGGAAACAGGGAAAATTAAATTAAATAAATTTTTTTTAACATTCTGTGAAAGTATTGCATTTATCATGCTTACCCACGATGAGTAAAATGGAAGAGGAGTATTTTTTGACACAGGCCTGGTCCACACAACTGCATGACTTTTATAATTGTAATAGTACGATAGCTTTGGATTGCTCCTTGATCTATTTTCAATCCAAAAATAGTTGTAATTTGGCTTACCAAACCTGTTTATGAAAAATAAAAACATTTCATTTGAATGTTTTTTGAACTTGGAAAATTTTGCATACGTTAAAATTTTCAAGTTATGCTAATGAAATTCATACATTGCAAAAAAATTGCATCTCAATTTAAAGACATGGTTTACTTTTTAATCCTTAATACTTGAAATATTTTTATGTAATTGGATTCTACCACATCTTAAGGAATCACCGGTACTTATTGAAAAACGCCGCATTTGATATCACGTTAGTCAAAGCACTACTCACATATGATTCCATATCTATAGTGTCAAACACTTATATCTTCTGCATCTTTGCAAAGAATTTTTTAACACAATACGGCCTCCTGAATACGAATTTTTAATTGGAAGACTGATAAAACGGGCAGGGAAGTTGTTATCAACAATGTAATAAACATTTTTCTGGGCTTATTTAAAGGAAAACTGATTTCGCGGAAAAAATTATAGAAATTGTATCATTAACGCATTGAACATAGATTGTCACATGTCTCATACATTTTTTTTATCAGATCCATTCAAGTGTGTGCACAAAAAATAATGTTCAGAATAACTTACTCTGACAGCGGACAGGGCTCAGGTGGGACGATAGTGCTAGTCGAGCAGAAACTCTCCGCCGAGGAGAATCTCCCGGTGCTGCTGCTACTGGCGCTACCCCCATCATCCGACGACGATGACGACGAAGACGACGAAGACGAATAATTCGGCATCTTGTCATGTACTCGATCTCGCATTGCTGCGCACGTGTTCGCTCTACCTCACCCAACGATGATGATGACAGTTATGCTGCTGTGCACTACTGGTCCATGCCGAGATGAAAAAAGTTACTCTTGCAACTCCAGATCGGGCCGCCTTTGTTTAATACTTTACCCCCAAATACAGTAAGCACTTCACTAATTAAGGAGCTCATGCGTCCAGCATCACGTTCTAATTACACGTCTGATATAAATATATAGATCAAAGGCAGCTGGAGCCTTGGTCTGGACACTCTACCCTGAACCCGGATGTGTCGCGAGTCGCAAAGGTACTACTTAATAGAATAAGAGTAAGTTAATAATCAGAACAAGTCTGTACATAAGTTATGAACAGAGAGAGAACTGCAGAAAAGTACGACTGTTACTGTTCTCGTTCGTTACACAAGTACCCATAAGTATTATTTCTTCCGAGGCTCGAAAAATTTGTAAACAAACCGCTGTTTCGAGGAAATGTGACGCTCGTACGTATACCTGTATGTGCAAGCAAATGCTCTATGCGCTAGTGGCTGTACTTATGTGGATTAGGTAGACATTTTTCAAGTCTGTTCAACGAGTTCACTACTTGTTAAAGTTATCTTTTTTTTCTATTTGCATATACTCGTATGTGTGTGTGTCCTTATGTTATAACCTCAATTCTCGTTTCTCGCGCGATTATTTGTGTACTTATGTGTGTACGGCTACTTTATTTTCTCCAAGTAAATAGTAAGTCCTAATCAGAGATTAATTAATTAATTCATTCATCTGTGTCCTCTTACTCCTGCAGTGTCATGAATCTGCCGATGTCATAAGTTATACAGCGGTCACCGCTTACCGGAAAGATTTTTTTTTCTCTGCCAAAGGCCATTGGGAAACATTGAGAGAGGTAAGCAAGACGAACATCGCACATGAGACCTCCAACGCAGTGTTTGGTTACGTAAGTTTTTTCAACTTATTTCTTATTTTATATCATTAAATTTGTTAGTTTATTTATTAAAATAAAATCAAGACTACAATATCAATAGTCGGTTGTCTTGTATATCAGTATCTCATAACCTATAATTTAAGTTTGAGAAAAATGGAGAATTACTAGTTGTTTACTTTTTTGATCATTAAGAGTAGATGATTGTTAACAAAAATAAGAGCTGACACAATTATGTATATCTCTTTATTCATCTTGCTAATTAAGGGTATTAATTAAACGATCTTGTAGATTAAAAATTGAAAGATGCACTGAAGATCTGTGGTTAAAAGTTGGTGTCAATGTGACTGTACTCACCTCAGTTTTTTTTTTTAATTTTCAAATAATTTTATTTAAATTAAAGGGGTGGAACAAAACGTCTGTCTAATATTGGTTTTATTATAATAAGAATAAATAACCGGTAAGGATACACTACTCACACAAGCATACATAATTTTTTAGTATTAAACTAAGTGTTTTCAAGTATAATTTGGCTAATTTTTAGAGAAACCGTACTTTAATAAAAAAAATTTTTAATTGTATTTAAAAAAACAATTGAGTACTGGGAAATATCATATACCCTAGTGAAGAGAGAAAAACAATGCAGCCAACGCAGCAGTAGTTGCAGTCCCTACCGCCTTGCTTTCTTTTTAACAATTTATTCAGGATCTTTGTTCCGAAATTCTTTATAAAATTTATTTAGCGTTTTAAAAATAAGTAGAAAGACGTTTCTTAAAGTTTTTTGTCACCTTTTATTGTGACGCAAGTCATTGTTGTTAACCATGTATTTCTGTTTTTAAGTTATGAACTCATCACAAGTTCACTCGCTTTATTTTGCTTCAGGTTTGATCTCTAAAATGTTTTGTTTATTATTATTATTATTTTTTCAGAGATTAGCAAGATCAAAAATGTTAGAAGGGGCTCGTAGGACGTAGAACGGAAAATGCAAATCGAATAAAAACTTAATTAGCTTGAAGATACATATCAAGTACGGTTATACTGTATGTGTGTTTATTTGGTACATGGTTGAGTAATGGCAAAAAAAAAGGTTTTCCAAAGTGTGGTAGTCCTCTGATTGACCCGATCGAATAAACTCAGCCAAGTAGACAGAGTTTCAAATAAATGCAGATTTACATACGATAAAAATCGTAAGAACAATTAAGATTTCGAACGCATCGAATTAAAATTTTTTCAACGTGCTTCTAAGGTAGCTATGATTCGACGCAAGTTAAAAATACATTAATGTATTGGTGCTACTAGTGATAAGAGTAATAGTAGATTGATTAGTGATCCTATATATATAGTAAAGTTGTTGCTTTTGAAAATCAGTCTCGAAACAGGCATCGAAAGTGTACTATCATTAGTGTGTGAACACTCATGAGCAAGTATCAGCGCGTAACATCAAATTGTGCTTTGATGTGACGTACAATTTATTTTCAGGTAAGTCGTTCTTACAATTATTTTTTATTCGTGGTATGAAGTTAAATTTATTTTATCAGCCCAATTTTCCCTCATCAGTTTATTTACATTTAATCTATCTGTTTTTACTTTCCTTATTATCACAGCTAAAAATAGTTGCTTCTATCGTTTTATATTATCTTTAATAGTAATTTTCGGGTAATTTTCCCAATATGGACGTTTTTCTCAACTTTAGGCATTTGCTGTTCCTCTGGTTATAAAAAATATTGTTCGACACTGGTGCAAATTCAACCAGGGCGCGAGCACAAAGGTGCGAATCCTTGGTGCTTTCCATAATGGCGATACCGCACCACTATTGAAATAGTGTGTATTACATAACAAGTACACGAAACTGGTAATTTGCGCACGAGTGTAGATTAATAAAGATCACGTTATTGTCCAAATACCCGATGTAATAACTGTCGCGACGATAGTATTTATTCATTTTGAAATAATGCCCCCAATTTTCTAAATACGAAATACTATCATGACGAAATAAAACCGTGTTTGAAATTCAATATTTTTTAGAAATGAAGTTCAAGGAACTATTAAAATCAGAACTACGCGTTCCACAAGTAAAATTGGACGGAATAACTAACGAATGGAATGTGATACGGACAGGAAAATTTTGCACGTGGCATAAAGGTAAATGCTAATCCAAGGATATTATGAATTTTGTGACAAGGTTTGAAAGTTTATAGTGTTTTAGTAAAAAAAAAAAAAAAAAGATTGTAACTAATTTTTTTCTTAGTATTTTTGTAAATTATTAATTTCGAAGTTAAACTACGACTCACTCATTACGTAACAGCCAGTTAAACTTTTTTCGACAAAATACTATTCGATTTTAATCGCTTACAAATACAAAACTGTAACAATTCTTAAAAAATGTTTGAGCCCCGATCGGATAAATCGTATCCGTACGTGTTCGGCCAGTAATCGTCTTGCCTGTGGCGTTATAGATACACGTGATAATTATATACTGGTAATATACACAGTTAAAAAAAATTGATAAAGAGAAAAAACGCCTTCGCCTAAAGTGTTATTTTAGGTGTTGCTGAATAGAGCTTGCATTCATACCATAGATAACAATAAACAAATTAACCTAATTTTTTGAACAATAGGAGCTCGTTACTGAATTTTTTTAGGAACTTATATGAACGCAGAAGTTGCTGTTAAACAAATAAAACCAATCAATTCTGACAAACACGGAGAATTTTACAAAGAATACAACGAAATAAGAATGCTACTTTTACTAAAACACGAAAATATTATCGGTTTAAGTGCATTTAGTTTCGATGGTCAGACACCCTGCCTCGCTTATCCCTACATGGAAAATGGTTCTCTGTACGATAGGTTGAGGAATTACAAATTGTCATTAAGTTGGCTTCAGCGACACGAAATCGCTCGTGGAATACTAAACGGATTATTATATTTACATTGTTTTGGTTCAAAAGGAGTGATCCATGGGGCAATCTCAAGTGCCCACATTTTACTAGATGAACATGTCAAGCCTAGAATCGCTGACTTTGGGTTAGCAGAATTTGAAGGTTCTAAATGCTACGTTGAAAAAGTAATTAAATACACTTTTTTTTGCACATATGTTGCTCAAAAATATTGAAAACGAAAGATATGTTGAAAAATATTTGCAATTTCAGATTAGCCGAGTCCAAGGAGTTCAACCTTACCTACCAAATCCACACATTTTAAAGAACAACTTCTCTCTGAAAAGCGATGTGTACGCGTATGGAATTATATTGTTTGAATTGGCTACTGGTCTGTCACCTTACCACAATCATCAATCGATAGTCAGTATAATTTTACAAGATTCAGATTACAAAAAAGTGACCGATCAACGGGCTGGTATAGAAAATTACGAGTTATCGAATAAGTTGATTGAAATAGGAATACTATGTACCCCTAGAATAATGTACTTAGTGCCAAATTCAAAAAATGTAAATTTTCAATTTCGTAATTACAAACCACGAGTAACAACAATTAGAAAACGTAGTAACTTGCGTACAGTCCAAGATAATGAACAATCCTTGGTAAAGTCAGTGTAATCACTTCACGTTGCCATAAATATTGAACATGACTTTTTTTTATAATTGCACACGTGGACTTTTTACTCTTATTACTGGCAATCAAAAAAATTATATTATTTGGTTTTTTTTTTCGATGATTATGAAATGGTGGATGAGGAAAGATAAAATTAAATAATAGGCGTATAAATTATTTATAATATATGTAATTGTACTGTTGAAATTAATAAAATATAACAGATTGATAATGTTTTCATTCTTTCGTTGATCAGATATTTACAAAAAAATTTTGTATTCATGTCTCCGATTGGAATAACGACAGTTTTTTATGATCAATCAAGGCGCATAAAAGCAATAATTCAAAATAATAGTCATACACACGCGTTAGCACGTATTTATATTTCATAAATTTTTCTACTGTGATGTAAAAATGTAATACAAAGTTGAGAAAATCTGCTAGTAACCTACAAAAAAATCATAATTTCTTTTTAAAACTATCGATTATTTTCTTGAAATTGTAATAATATCATGAGGTATGTTGTGAGTGATCCAAAAATCTAAAAAAAAATTTTAACACGTCATTTTTCTTGTTTGAGCTAGTTAATGAAAAATACGATAAACTCACCGACACCAGTAAAGATTCGTCCAAAAGAAAAAATCCAGCAGCGGAGAAATGTAGGTTTTGGTGTAGTAAAGAAAGTGAAAATTGTCTTAACTAAAAATAAAAAGAACTGTATGTGCATTTATAATTTAAATAACATTATTTACGAGAAAAAACCAATACCTTTGATGATAATGGTGTGTTCTCTGACCTTTCTATACATTTGCTAATCAATCTTCCAGTTTCTTTGCTCTGAAAGTATTAATAGAATAAATAAAATCATTGATTAGTTTGTTGAAGTAAAATGGTATTTTACATACCTCAAAAACAACAGCTGTAACAGATCTCGTTAACATTAGTAATTGAAAAGTGTAATTGCACATGTCAGAAATACAATAAACTATGATAAATATAGAGATGGGTTGTTTATCCATAACTACAGATTTTATTAAATAATAGCAGTAGAGTATCAATACCACAAACATGTAAGCTGTACTTAAAATAGTAGGTATAGAATAGTAACTGCCTACACTTCTTGATGTTTCAAATAACACTGAAAATATTTTACGTAAAGAAATGAACTGACGTGATATAATTTCTGTGTCAATATCTCTGTTGTCTCCAATTGTATATAATTGATAAGAGTTACTCATATTTTTAGATAAAAATGTAATGTTCATGTTTAGTTGCTTCCACAGGTTCAATAATATTTTTAATATAATATTGTATTGAATGAACAAAGAAAAAATTACTAAATTACTCAATCCCATATTAATAAAATAAATTGTCATACTCGTTGGTATATTGAATGCAGCAGTTATCATTGACAGCCATGTGATACTAAAAACACTGAAAACTTCTATTATTGTGCGAGATATCATAGGTATTATATTAAAGTCATCGTCATTGAGATTTGATAACATTTTCATTACATCTTCTATTTTAACAGCTATACTAATGCAACGCTTTTGACGTGCTCCAAAATACAATAAAATAAACATTTTTATTATGCCACAAAATGTAACTCCAGCAACGTTAATTATATTGTCATAGCAAAAGTTACTGAAAGGTGTGTCATCGTAAAGAATTACCTTAGCTTGGTAAGTCAATATAATTATTATAGAAATTAAAAAAACACTATAAAATTTATTGAAATTGGAGCCTAAAAATAACACTCGTTTTTTCTTTTTGTTATTGTGTTGGTATTTAAAGTTAATTGTTACGAGGCCAATAATTTTAAAGAAGTAATAATTACAAAAAATTATTAATAAATTTTTCTTTTTAAAACTAACAAAATCCATCTTTGTTTAAAATGACAATTTATACAGTTTTAAAAACACTTAGAAATAACAATTTTTTTCACAACTTTGTGCCACATACAACGCTGTAATCATTGAACCTTGAAATATGAGCCACTACTTATCAGATAGTACAATTTCAATAGCAAAGTAATGAATTTAATGTATTAAAGCTTTTAGAAGATTGCTTAATCAATTTATCTAGACAATGGATAAATAAAACCAATTTATAGATTAAAAACTATTTCACTAAGTAACGTATTAAGTAATATTCTGTTGCAGTTAATACATCATATAAAATTGGATAGTCTCGATGTAAGAGTGATAGCGTAAACACATTCGGAAAACAAAGGAAAAATAACACGAAAGCTGTTTTAAAATAAACAAGAAAACTTACAGGAAAAAGCACGCTACAATAAAAAAAAAGTAAGGCAAGCAAAATACACCAATACATATTCGTTTTTATCAAGTTACATGTGAAAATTATAAAAACAGACTTATGATAAATAACTTACACCCAACTGATACATTATTATCTTATTGTTTACAATACATTTTTTAATCGTTATCTGAACATTTTATTTTGTACTAATCTATGTGATAATTACACTAATATTTCATTAAATTAATTAAAAAATGACGATTTATTGATAGTACTAAAAATGAAGAGAAACTAAAAATGTTGAAAAGAAATTCACTTGAAAATCAAGTGAGTTACTCACAAAGAATGTAGTGCAATCGATAACTTGTCTCTAGTGCTTAATAACAATTATTATCAAGCACTTTTGTTCTTTCTAAAAGGTTTAAAGTTTTGCGAATAAAAAAAAAAAACATTTTTTAATACACTTCACATTCTTCGTTAAAATTTTTTAAAATAAAAATTGTGCCTGTGTGCCCTGAACATTGCCTTGCTTCATGACTACTTTTTCCGATTTTTCAAGTAAAATTTAATATTTAGAAGAACAAAGTAGTTAGCTAGTTGAAGATGCAAATGAATGATGACTTTCGAAAACAGTAACACTTAACGGATTTTATTCACAAATTTTATTACAAATTCATTTCAAGACATTTGCAGTTTAGGAATGTTGATATTTTAATTCGTTGATTGATTTTTCTGTCTACCTTGAAACTGCAAAATTATCATTATGTAAGTAGCTATTGATCCTAAGATCCTAAAAAAACAAAACGATATTACACAAGAACGTTACATTTTTTACATTTTTATACCATACAACGTAATTTCATCACTTACGACATAAACAACGATTCATTTAGTGTAAACATTTCAGCTGCAGAGAATACCAAATTTCGGCTTGACAAGCTTATAAAAAAATGTTTCAACTGTGTATTGAAATAAAAAAGTACAAATAAATACGAATATATTGATGTTGAATTAAATCAATAAGCCAGAAAATACCTTAACAAGAATCTTAGGATTTTTTACATTTTCAATAAGTTTTGCTATGATTTTTTTTGTTCTTCCATACTAAAAAAGAAAAATACCTAAGTATTATTAAATTTTTGAAGCGCACAGTTTTGCTTAAGCAAATATGATATATTACCTCAAAAACAAGAGCAGAAACTGATTTTGTGAGAAACAATAACGAGACGCTGTAATTCAAAATTTGAGTAACACAGTGTACATGCATAAAAATATTGAAAGGGTCACTTGGTATGATTACAGAACTTATTATTTCATAAAAATATAGTATTAATCTTACGAAAATATAAGATGTTGATAAAAATACCGTCATGGAATAATAATTTGATAATTGTTCCGATACGTCGCATAATGACGAAAAAATGTCACGTAACTGTACAAATTGAGCAATTTCGAGATCAGCGTTAGAGTTATTTTCATTGTAAATCAGATACATTTCATTGGAATTTTGTCCCTTTTTTGACATAGATAAAAAATTTGTATTGATATTTGTTAATGAATACAGTAGTATTCTTAGGACAATGCCATACTGACACAGCATGCTATTGATTATTAAATCATCAATACTTGTGGAAATAAAATAAATAATCCACAAGTAAGGCATTTGAACAATAGTTACTAACAATAATGACCAAATTACACCGCTAATCAAACCAATTTTCTTTACAATCGCTGCATGATTCGAATTATCAACTTCGATTTCATTGGTAAATCTCATAGACGAATAAAGTATTTTCATTATTTTCTCTATTATTTCAATAGAATTTTTTTGATAAAAAGAGAAATTTATCAAAATAAATGAAACGGTAGTGACACCCAAACATATTGCAGTTATATCAACGGCGTCTGAAAACGTGAGGTTATTGCGTTCACTACGTACGATGATCCATATAGTATTCAGCGACGCGACTATGAGTGTCAAACATATGTTATACATCTTTCCATTGTTAGAAAAATGGAACGTTGCTAGTTGTTTCTTGTATTTCCTTGAGAACGCAAATTTTAAACCGATTGGAGCGAGACCAAGAATTTTGAATATGATAAATATACACTTGAATATTTGAACTTCTCGCATATTGGATACTGTATTGAAAATGTATCCTGTTTTTTTGAACATGAATATTATAGTTGGAATAGTTTTCACTCAAATGAAGGATAAATGTTGAACTGGTTGATATTTGAAATCTAGTATTGAATATACCATCATTTGATCTTGATAACTCGCGCACCTATTTGTGGAAGAATAAATTACTTTAATAAGCATTCTTTCCCATTTGAATAATTGATAGGCGATACACGATAAGAGTACTCGTTTAAGGGCAGAAAAAAATAATACGTTTCAATGCATGACATAAAAAAAAGTTGATTGCATATTATTTATTATTGAATTTACTCATCCTCCTTTTTTTCTCAATTTCAAAGCCATCTAACATTAAGATTTTATAATTTTTCTAATCGCGAAATAATTTCTTGACAATAAGTACACAGATAATATAGTTTTTGCGTTTTTGTACGCGCATGTACATTACAATACCATACGAGTAGGAGAAACAAGGGTGAAGATACCGAGAGAAAACGGTGCTGCTCCATTTCTGTTCCAAGAAAGCATAAGGGCCTTCCCTCTCCTTTGCTTCTCCCATTATTCTCGTGATGAAAAGAAACAACCTGACCTGCTGTATTAGCACAAGGTCGTTCGACAGGGCGTTAGACTGTTTTGTAATTTACGAGCAACCTCTGGCTAGTTTGTGTGGAAGAAAAAAACACATATATCATAAGCACATCTCTACACTACTGCCTATACTACGTAACGTGTATACCATAACACTTTTTGGCGATAGAACTCCAAAACTGTGCAGCTTGTATACGGATTCAAGGAAAGGTAACACGTATCGTAGGCCCGAGACAAGTTTTTATTCTTTTGTTTCTAGAAAAATGAATAAAGAAAAAAAACATGGCTTGAAAATTTATGGGGTCTCGATAAGCTGCACGATAAGACAGAGTTGAGATTTTTAAACAGAAATATTTTTCAAGAGGCAAGAAAATATACATATACATTATTTTGAACTCACGCAACTGTACAATCTTGGCGTTACATTATCCATGCTTGACGCACTCTCGATTATTTCAGTCACGTAAGCCCGGACTGTGACAAGTGCAGGAGAGGCAATTGGCTGTTCCTCTTTCTTTTGGTGTGTGCAGTTTTAGTTTTCCAATAAAAAACGTCTCGATCGCATATATCTGGCTTTTCTTTTTAAGAGGAAATATAGTCGCCAAAACTTCGTCTTACTGCAACGTAAATGTTTTATTTTTTTATTTAGGCACATACGAGTATTTCTGTCCAAGCATACTTATATGCGTTGTGTTTCTTTGTTGTAGTGGATTACAGTGGCCCGTTGCAACCGTAAATTATTGCGGGCTCTTCTTTCTCAATGCAAAATTTTTTAGGACTTTTGCTGCGAGGATCGTCTCGATGAGGTAGTTTTTCAGTATTAAACGCTGTTATCTGTCAAAAGAAAGAAAAAATAGCTTTTTTTTTTACATGCTCGGAATAAAGTGATGAAAATGGAATTCACTAACGAGTATAAATTGGGCTCTATTCTAATAACTTTGTGAATTGCGGAAAAAAAATTTCATACACAAAAGAAAGCATTCTTCCCAAACCGCGTGCAGTACATCCTAATGCCCGGTACCGTAATAATTGTACCCAAAATTATGTGCACACAAAACGCAACACGTAAGTAGTGGTTTGTCCGTTCCTTCATTTAACAAAGAAGAAAAAGATGCAAAATGGGGAAAAAAGGACTAAAAAAAGGAAAAAGAAAAAAAATAGATAAAGAAGAGAAGGTAACACTCTCTAACCCTAAAAACCGCATTGTGCATGCACGGTAGGAGTCGTAGGCATACTTATACGCTATTCAGCAAGACACAGGGGCACTTGTCAAAATTACCATTTCTTTCTAAAAAAAAAAGGCTCTCTCCTCGCGTGTCGGGCTCCTCTTTTGTGGTGATGAATGCATTTCCGAGAGTCGGTTAGCCTCCCCTTCTGTTCCCAAAAGAACAAAAAGATACACAAACCCGAGATTTCAAAGTCGATCTCGGTGTCTTTTGGTAGAAAAAAGAAAAGAAATGCGTTTCGATCGCGCCAAACCCACAAATGCGTAAACTGTCTCCTGCTGTTTCTGTGCCTCCATTGTAACATATATAGAGACCCGATGATGGGTACAGGTACACCCATTAAAGGAGACCAAAAGGATAACACACTTGAGATAAAAACCATCGCTCATATATAATTAAAAAGGCATACCCAGGGCGAGGTCGATTACGTTGTTACGACGTGATACTTGAAACAATATACTTGTCGGGATTAACGAAAATTCAGGTACAACATATAATATGTATGCCTTATAGAAACACGTATGTATATTTACCTTCATTCGGCATATTTATTTGACCGAGTAATTCGAGCGGCACTCCTACGAGTTGTTTTTAATACGTTGTTTCTAAAAGCGATTTCCGAGTACGCTTCGATCACGTACCTACCTACCTGCTCACATTTTTTACATTTCGAAGGATTTAATTTAAAAAAAATGATAATAAAAAGAAAGTCGCTGCTCGACGCCCTATATTTGCTCAAACGCCAAAACCGACAGCTGCAAGAGTGTTGCGAAATGAGATGGCCTAAACACAGGAGTTGCAAAAAAAGGCCTCTCATTTGTCCCCCCTTAGAGGGTGTAGTTTGTGCCGTTTTTTAGTACCGCCATGCGGTGCCCGTGTGTACTTGCAATTATGCTCCTTAGAGCCCTTAAATAAGTATATACACGTACAGCCACGAGGTACATATCGCGTGTATTTTCTCAATTTCGCGATCCATCGCGTGTCGAACGGCAAGGAAGAGAAAAAAAAAAAAAAAGAGGGTACTCTCGCGTGTGTGTCGCGTCTCTTTAATTTCCAAAGCGATGGAAACGACCGGCTGGACAGGTAAGAAGAAGAAGAGCCTACGATGGTGTACCGATGCCTTTCCCCGCAAGGTATATACCTACAAGCGGGGCTGGAACGACGGAAATAAAACGACGCCAATGACGATGAGGAAAAAGAAGAGGACAAAGCTCTCCCTCGAGAAGGATGAGGGAAGGGGGGAGGGGGGGGCAAAGCAAGGCAGCCCCGCAGCAGCATTGAATGCTGATAGTAGCGTATATATATTATTACGTGTATACATATAAGGTGTTGGTAGGTAGGTAGGTTGGTAGGTAGGTACTGCTGTCACGGCCCAGTGCCTGCGATGGTGCTTGCGGTGGTATCTGCTATATGGTATAGCGTACACCTAAGTGGTGGTGGTGGCGCAGCTTCGGAGTGGAGGGCCGGACCGTTAGTTGGCCCCAGCCTCGTGGGAGCGTTGCCCGGGCATGATTATGCCTTTGCTTCCCCCCCCCCTCCCTCCGCAACCCCTCCATATACCTACCTGCCTCCTCTTCTTCTTCTTTTCCTCTCTGTGTATACCTATCTTCTTATTCTGTTGCTGTGCTTCTCGACCATTCCTTTCGCCTCCGATGCTCTCTTGGCGCGCGCGCTCGTGCTTTTCATGGTCAATGCGATATCCGCGAGACTCCGTCTCTAATGTAAGTGCCACGTACACAGGTATACATTGATACCAGAGCAGGTATAAATAATACATAAACACGCCGATCGGTATAATATACACCATACCAATCATGTATACGTATAATACATTCTCCCTCTAATGCCTCCTTCTGTGTATCGATCCCCATCCTCAGCGTGTCGAATGCTGATGCATACATTTTTCATCACTTGCATTCTTCCGATTGCATTTTTTTGCGTATAAGTTGGTGCAGAAACCCCCTCCCCCCGAGTATCACCCCATTGTCTCTCGATTGTCCGACACGCCGCGTGTTACCTCCGATCGGCAGCGAACGATCAATCGCGATATGAGCGCGCGCGCAATTAAACGGAAGAGGAAGCGATTTCAGGCATTTTTAGGGAGTG